GCACTCGGATGTCCGGGGTTTCAAAGCGAACGACCACCTTTTGTAGAGCTTGGTGAGTTCGGAATCTCGTGGTAAATGTCCATCTCGCAGAGCCTCTGCGTGTGCTTCTAGATATGGTTGTCCTCAACCTCCATGACTGTGTCTGTCTCTCTCTCTCTGTAGCTCTCCCTGTCCCTGTCCGTCTTACTTCCAACCGCCAGCACACTGCCAGCCGGGCCAGCCTCCTCCTCCGCGGCCAGGGGCCTGCGCAGCCGCCCACGCCGTCTGCTGCGCAAGCACGGCCGAGTGGCGTGCGGGGTGTGCACGTCTAGATCTCGCACAGCCACGCGGCGGTAGACAATCAGCACGGCCACGTTCGCCAGGGCAAACGGCGAGAGGCAGGGTGTACTCGCTGATGATGCTAGCGACGAGGAGCCGAAGGTACCACGTTGTGAAAAGCTGCGGCCGAGAAGTGGGAGGCCGTCAGTGGTGGTGTGAGTGAGACGTGCTCCTTGCGCCGGCTCAACGCGCCTCTCTTCGTTAGCGTCAACGTCGACGCGGGAGCCTGGCTGGATGTCGGTGCAGTGCGCATGTCAGGTATGTGTTGTCAGCGCGCGGGTATGGCGTGGGTGCCGTGAGGGTGGGCATGCGCGTGCGACATCAATCACCAGCAGCGTAGCTGCGGGGGAGCGGGCAGGATGCACCATGCGCCACGAGCCACGAGGCAGCCGCGCTTTGACGCTCCAGAATGGGAGACTCCGACAATTGCCCAAATTGCCGTTTACTATTCCGCGTTGCGGAATATGCGGAAAGTGCGGAAAACAATGTGCGTGGGCCGGAGGGCGTTACAATCCTGCTTCTTTCTTTCTTGGGCTTTAAAATACCCCGTCAGCAGAGTCCTCCTACGTATCTGAAAGAGCACATAACACTGAATGAAAATGTCCATCTGTGGCGAGGGTATCGACTACCTTCCTTGCCCTCTACCTACCTCTGGGATGGGAAGGAGTGAGCCTACCAGGTAGCCTTGAAACAACGGTTTCCGCACCGCCTCACGCATCTGCTGATGCGGCCCAAGCTTGCCGCGTTAGCACTGCATCCGGCGCGGGCACCCAACGCGCTTCATTGCTGCCCGGTACGACTGTACTGATCTGGCTTGCGCACCAGTGCTGGCAGGCTCACACCATAGTGCTCCCTTGCCTGCTGGTGTAGGCAACAATACCCTTGCTGGCAAGCTTCACCTCGCGAGCTGCCTCGATGGGGTGCCGAGGCATAGAGATTAGAGTCTCGCCTACGCTGCGGCACAGACACCTGATGAGGACAGCATGATACCACATGAATCTGCTCAGTTGCAGCAAATTCTACTGAACAGTTGAGGGCTGGCGAGAGAGAAGACCGTTAAGGAGCGCGAAACGCGCGAGGAAGCCGCGGGCTGCGGGCTCATATACAAGAAGAAAAAGTTGAAAACGAGACTCCTTGTTATCCATAAAAGAGCCACATACATGATATGTCAACCGGCGCACATGCGACGAGAGCGGGCGCCGTTTTTCATTGCCTATTCTAACGAGACACAGAGCAGCGGCACGGGCGTTGCCGATCGAACACGGATTGCTGAGGGCCATGCACAATTCGTGCGGTTATGGGCTGCCACCGCAAAACATGCAAACGACAGGCCACGCCACGTGCGCCACCATATCCAGCTGCGCAGCGGCAACGACTGCCGAGGCGCAGGCCGAGCCGCAGCCTACCCGATGCCCCGCCGACATGCGGCATTGGCCAAAATGCTGGGCATCTCAGGTTAAGGAAGGCAACTTGAAATAGCAAGGAGCATCCTAGAATGCAAAGGGGTAACTCCAGATGCTAGCGCATTCACGAATGCAGTTCGCATTCCAGGATGGTCGACGCATCCTGGAATGCGTGGACCATCTTTGGAATGCGGTGTGCATCTTGAAATGCGAAAAGTCAACTCGGCATTCTGAATTGAAAAATGCAATCTAAATTGATTTTTTGCAACTCAAAATGCCCTCAGCATCTCAAATTGCGGGTTCCCCGCCCCTGACGGTGGACGCGCCGCCTACCCCCTACATACCGCTCTTGCTCCGAGAGGTGTGTGTCACGAGTGTGCTCTCGCGCAATTGCTCACCATGTTAGATATACCCAGTAGCATCAATGTCCATCATGCATCAAGCATGGAAACTCATGGTCATGCATCATATAATCACAATAAACGTAAACTCCGACATAGAACATAATATGACTGTGTCCACCCTCTGCAAGTCTGCATCCACCTCAGATCCACCGGCACCGCTCTCACAGTCTCAGCCCGCGGGCCTCCGCACGAGCTCGCCTCCAGCGTCAAGGATCGCCCCGTCTGCCCTCCAACTCAGCCCGAGGCGCTGCCAGTCCATGCCCTCGCCCTGCTCGCCCTCGCCCTCCTCTCCACCATCGCTGCCGGCCGCGAGGCGCAGCGTGCGGAGCAGCGCGGCATGGTCCACCTGACGGACCACCGCCTCGGGTCAATCTCTCGGGCCGGGAGGGCTGGCGCGGCACCGAGATCTCTTTTTCCGCGGCATCTCGGCGGTGTCTTGGGGTCAGTGGCACCTCCCCACCGGCGCCGCGCGGCGGCCGCAGCAGCGCCTCGACGGCGACGGCCGCCTCGCGGGGCAGCCCTTCCGACAGCTGGCTGGCGGTGGCGGCGCGCTTGGCGGCGGGGATGTCGGCTGGCGGCGCGTGCTCCCACGGCAGGGAGCCTGCGGGCGGGGAGGAGGGCGGCGGGCCGTCAGGGTTGTGAGGGGCCGCGCTCTGAGCTCCGCATGGTGGATCGGCAC